CTGTTGCTTTCGTCTTTTGTTCTTTTAGTTATTTTGTTATTTGTTATGTATTGTAGGTCTATTAGGTCTGTTGGAGTGTGCTACACACTTCCTGCTGTTGTATCTTATAGTTATTTAGTTATGTTCTATGGTTTTTCCGATTTTTACTTTTTGTTTACTTAATTTTAGTGATGTACGGGAAAGAGTTTCTTTTATTTTTTTTTTTGTAATAAAGACTTATTTAAATTAACAAAAAAATTTTGATCTTATAATTAAAAAAATTTTTTTATTAATATAATGCTATAGTAGAAACTTTATTACAAATAAAAAAATAATTTTAAACCTAAAGATTTCTAACTATATTTGTATTATATAAGACACCTAATATGATATTATATTACTTATTTCCTATAAAATGCTATAGTTAATTATTTCAAACTAATTTCTAGCTAGAATAGATTGGAGGAGATCTAAATAATTAAAATTTTAAATGCTATATAATACAAAACAAAAAATAACTTTTATATAGTCTAAAAGCTGTTTTTGTATTATATATATACTTATTTTAAAGACTATTAGAATATCAATATACTGTATATAATCTATAAACTCTTTCTAATGATCCTCTAGACAATAACAATAAACTGAACTACAGAAAAATAATATAGAAACATCCAAGATAGATACTTCTTAGTTCTACTTTAGAGTAAAGCAGTTGTCGACAAAGTCTGAAAATATAAAACACCAAGAATTGATCATTTTTTGGATAGTTTTTCTTGGTATTAAACTTTGCTGTTTCTGGTAGACTCCCCAAGTTATTCAGTATCCAAACCAGAAGGGTATTCTGAAAACTGTTTGTATCTTTATATAGGTTGTTGTCGATGAAGTTTAAGAAATATGATATATTGAGGAGTGATATAACTTAGATAGTTTTCTTAATATTAAGTTTTTTTGCTAATTTGTTAAACAAACTCTCTAAGTTATTCAGCATTTCAACTAGAAGGCCTATTCTAGAAACAAGTAATAGTTAAAAGACTTTCACTAAGATTGTTGAAGTTTGAAGAATTGCTTAAACTTACAGAAAAACCTTATATATTTTCATTGTCCCTCAACTTTTTTTCAGTAAAAATTTTATAAAAAAGTAGGAGATTTAGCTTACCACTCCAAAGATCAACATATTATTTACTTACCAAATCAGTTGCATTGTTTACTTTTTTACTTGCCACAACAAATATATGAATATATATAGAACTGTATATGTAAATTATATGCCTCACATATAGCAACCTGGACAAACAATGACTCGAGACCTTCAGTGTGAATTTTCGACCTTTTCAACCTCTCTACAGTGCTAATATCGAAGAAGTTATTTTTTTTATTTTGTTGTAGAATTTTTTTCTTATCTTAGATATACTATATATATAAATTAAAGTAGAAACTAGTTTAAATAGTAGTATATAATTTTTATAAAGCCTAATACAGGCTTATAATTGTGACCATTTGGTGTAAAGTCAATTTTCTCTTTTCTTCTTCTTTTTTTGTTTGTATTTTTTAATATTATCTTCTATACCTCTGTGTTGTTTTAAAAAATTTTTTCTTTTTTTTTCACTTCTCTATAAGAAGATGCCATCAGATTAGTGGTATCTTATTGTAGGATAGTGGTTGGATGAGCTCTCCAGTTAGAGTATTATTTTAATTGATCATATCTTGCTGATGTAGCAAGTTGCCTATGAATATTCAGATAGCTTTTGGTTATGTTGCAGTAGCTGTAGGATGTCAAGGCTATAGTTTTATTGTTTTAAATCTTCTATGAGATAATGATTTGAATAAACAAAGGTATTAGCATGATCTTGTCTAAATGAAAAAAAATATATATATATATAATCTATGAATATAAAATTTAAACTACCTTTACAGCATCCAGAAACTTTATAGTTCATATATATACAGACTCACAATTTGTTATATCAAAATTTAATATCACCAACTTATTATTACTTAAGCTATCATTTGTTTATACTTTATACTACACACTATAGTATACTCTAATTAATTTTATTAACTCATACAATCTCTAAGTTATCTTTCACAAAGTTATTATATATCAAGATAATCAATTCAACAATTTTGCAGACCAACTTGCTTACAACCACCTTAACAAACCATTTTTAATATTTAAAACTAATAATATTTACAATTCTAATTATACTCTTCAGCTTAATAACTATTTTATAAAGTTACTCATTCAGCATAGCATTCATATTATTTGCTATATACATATTTATACTTTATGATCATCTTAAAACTATTTTAAACAATAGATATACATTACTTCTTATATCAACTGGCAAACAACTTGACTATATATTAAATTTTTTTTTTTTTTTTCCCTCTTTAGCAACCTTGCCGGTGATCCTTTATTAAGATTATTATATAAAACTAGTTACATAATGTTAAGCTTAATATCTAGGCCTGACATCCCTCGGCTGTCTCTATAGATGCCCAAAAGCGGTCTGCCGCACTAGGTAGAGGTTTATATTCTCCGCTTAGAAGGCTTTTACCAAGTTGTCTCGGAAGCCTTGTAGACCTTGAAGAGGTCTTGATTTAGTTTCATTAAGTCAAGTTTATCTGAATACCCTTTTGTTATGTTATTATCTAATTCTAATCTATCTAATCCTAATTCTATTTAGCTATCTAAAATACCTTTCTTTCGTAAAAATATTATACTATTTATTTCTAAGCTAATATTCTTCCTTTTCTTTTTCCATTTTACTCTATATTTTTTCGCAGGTAACTTGACTCTTAACTCTTCAATGCTTCTCTTTTCTTCCTCTTTATCTTCTTCATTAATTACTAATAATTCTCTACTCTGTAATAGAGTTTTCTTCTTTATTTTTTTCTTTCAGCTTTTCTAGTTTGTTCTAGTCTTCTTACTTCTTCTTGCTTGGATTAGGAGTTCTTCCGAACTCACTAAAATTTTCTCTAGAAGTTTCTTTCGTGATATCTTCAACTTGTCTTCCATTTGGTTAGCTTCTTTCTCTTTACTATCTATAATTCTTTTCTCTAATATATTTTGAAGTTGAAGGTAGCTTCTTGTTAATTTTTCATAAAAATACTCGAGGTTTTCTCTTTTTTCTTTCTTTAAGATTCTTTTTGTTTCGTTCTTTTTTCTCTAAGACCTGTTATTCACTTCTTTTATTGGTATAATTCCTCCAGATATTCTTCTAAATAATTGTTAGATAAAGCTTCTTCTTTGTCTATAAGATTCTTTACTTCATTCTTTTCTTGGTTTGATTCCATAATATATATATATAATTCTTTGATTTGTTAAAAAGAATCTTCTATTCTTTTCTTTCTTTGTTGTGATTTCTGCTCTAAACTTTCTTGTCTAAGAGTTTAGATCCATATTTTATCTTGCTCTAATTTCTCCATATAATTTTTATCTGCATATCAAATATCTCTGTATTTGTTGAAAATTCTAAATTTTCCTTATCTTCTTTTCTATCGTTTTGTATTAGAAAGAGTAAATTTTCTTGTCCAAGTTGTTGAATTAAGTTCTCTTCTATGTCTCTTCTTTGAAGTGCTTGTTGCTCTTCTCTTTTTTTCTTAAAGTCAACTATCCAATCATTATAAAGCTCCAGTTCTTCTAAATAATCTTCTATTGATTCATTCAATATCTCTGCAGTTTTATTTTGTTTTCTAGAATCTTCTTTTTCTTTAGTACCCAAATTCCTAGGTGCTG